AAATAAAAACTTAAACCCTTCCCCAGAAAAGATGTTCATTGGCTATTTGTTATTATATTCTACTATCTACTAAAAATGAGTGATGTGGTCTAGCAGATTGACAGAATAAATTATACCACCCCATTTCTGGATTTGTTGTTCTTTTCCAAGAACTGACGAACTGCATTAGCAGGTTGCTGTGCCAAGAACAAAAAAATACTGTATACTGGACTTAGGATAGCTAAATATTTTTCAGCTTGGACTTTTTTTTCTTTCCTCCTCTTCCTCCTCTTCCTCTACTTCCCCCTCCCCTTCCCCTCCCCTTCCTCCTCTCCTTCCTCCTCCTCCTCCTCCTCCTCCTCCTCTTTTCTGCATTTCCTTTGCTAGAAAACACATTACTAGGTATCATATCAAACTATACTGATGTATTTTACAGATTGAATTTTTTCTAAATAATCAGTGTAACCTGTCATGCCAGGATATTGGGTTTTCTGAAGTTAAACCAAACTAGAAGAATATAGACATAAGCTAATGTTTTTTAGCAAAGAAGGAAAGTAAAATTTCACTGTTGAAAATGTGCTTTACTTCTTATTGACTGTTTTCCAAGGCCGAGAGTCTTTCACTTCACAGGCTAGACTAACTCACAAGTTTGCATTTTGAGAGATTTTAGTGTACATATTAGGGCCTTAAACCAGTGGAACAGAATTTATTGGTTAGTTCTTTTGAGGAAGAAATGTCATAAATAAAAAGCAGTATAATTAAATGTAATATGAAGGATTGACAAAAGACAATTTTCTAACAGGGAGGGATTGGAGGGTTTTTTTCCTTTTGTACCTGGAATCAGACTCAGGACCTTGCACTTGCCAGGCAGGCACTGAGCTATATCCCAGGGAGGGTTCTGAGAGAAGTGTGAAGAAAGATTTCGAGAGATCGGGCTAGAGTGTATTTGCAGGTCTGGGGCTTAACTTGGAATGGACTATGCTGCTTTTTTCTTTTTCTTGAAAAAGTTCTACTTCCATTTCCTTGATTTTTATCTTTTCTAGATTGTCAAAAGAGTGGGGAATAGCGAGGAAACACCAATGATTGGTGACAAAGTTTATGTCCATTACAAAGGAAAATTGTCAAATGGAAAGAAGTTTGATTCCAGCCATGATAGAAATGAACCATTTGTTTTTAGTCTTGGCAAAGGTAAGAGAGTATTTTTGAATGTATGTTGCTTAGATTTATTACTATTTGTATTATATAGAAGTAACGGAACATATCCTTGCCAAAAGTATTTTAGAGCAGTAGTGCTCAAAGAAAGTGGGCAGGGAATGTTCTCTGAGATCTTTTTCAGGGGCATTTACATAGTATCAGTTTTTGTCATAACAATACCAAGATGTAATTTATCCTTTTAAACCTTTTACTGTATTAGCTTTTGCACTGGAGACAAAATGTGCAGTAATAGAAATACTGCTGCTTTAACACAAATTGAGACAGCAGCACCCATCTGTATTAGTAATCATGCTACTTTCACCGCCTCTTGTGTGGGAAAGGGCTAGTGTTTAAGAATCTTCTTGATAATTAGTTAAGTTATTGTATTAAGGCCTAGTCCTTGTGTTTCACATGGTTTTGGTGCTGTGTGACACACAGGCTTGTGTAGATCCCTTCTGCACACCAGTGACCATGGCTTCTTGAGGAAGAGCACTTGGGCGCTTGATTTAGTGGAAAGCTGAGCTGGCTGACTTTTTTTGTTCATTGAAACACCATTTTTGCTTGAACAGGTGAACTATCAGGCTTGATTATTCAGTAGTCAGTAGGTATTTTCCTGAAAATGAGATGAGCCTGTCATTTCAAGGAAAACTGCTGACAATATTCGTTTGAGTTTTCAACTAAAAATTATAGTTTAGTGAATTTTGTCTGCCACTGTAACACTTAAAAGGCTTTTCTAGTGAAATCAGTATGCCTTAATGAATGTATTTTCTTATATTATGCAATGAAATGTATCACAATTTAGGGGATCTGTGTACCTCAGTGAACCAATATTTTCACTGTACGGTATAAGATTACAAGGTCATGTATAAACAGTCCACTCAAAATATAAAGTAGGGCTGGCCCAATAGCTCAGTGGATTAAAGTGTCTGCAAGCAGGCTCAGGGGCTGGGGGTTTGATCCCCGACCCACAGGGTGCGCTGAGAGGGCGACTGAGACTGGGCGTGGTGGCACATGCCTGTAATCCCAGCTCTTGAGAGGCTGTAAACTGGAGAATCACTATGAGTCCAATCTAGTAAGTGAGACCCTGAACACCCTGTAGACCCTTCCCTAAAATAAATAAATGAATAATAAAAAACAAAATATAAACTGGATTAGAGGCTTTTAAAAGTAACACATATGGAAGGTTCATTGATCTACAATTTCACATTGCAACTGACCTTCACCATATGTCCACATTTTTGTTAATATTTTTTTGGTGCTGGGGACCAAACCCAGGCCTTGTATGTGCGCTGCCATCGAGCCACGTTCCCAACACCCTGTGCCCATTTTTGATGATCATATTCACAAGTGAAGTGCTCCTGTCGTGCTCACTTCGGTCGCACATACACTAAATGCTGCTGTCTTTCCCAGATGTCTCCTTATGGGTTTGTATAAATTATAGATGTAGATTTGAGAATCCAGTTATCTTCCTAAGGAAGACAGTTTACATTTGTGAAATTATAAAATGATGCCACTCTCATTAGTGTTTTTGGTAGCACTGGGAGTCAAACTGGTAGGTAAGTGCTTTACCACTGAGCTATACCTTCAGTTCTTAAAGTTTTTTGAAGTATATAGTCTTTTTTTTTTCTAGTTGAGTAATTTATATTCACATGAAATTATTCTTTTTCAGTGAATTTTAACTTTTCTATGATAAGTTTTAATAGATATACAAGAACTGATTTTAGTTCTCAAGTTTTTCTCTCTATTCTGAGGACTGAACCTAGGGCCTAGTGGATGCTGAGTGCACATTCTGCCTCTGAACAGGCACACAGTAGCAGTCTTCAGTTTTTAGGATGTAAAACAGTTCTGAGGAAAAGGATTGAGGACTGCTATTCTCAAGAATGAAATATGATTAAATTTCTTTTCAAAATTTTTTTAAGAATTCAACTGATTTGGTATTCTTATTTTCTTTAGTCATATAAGAATAATAGCCCATACATCAAACTAAACTTTGTGGATCATGGGTTTGTTGGAAATTAGTGGCTGAGTTGCAGTGGCTTTATATTTGTGTGTGTCACAGCAGTTCTGCTTCCCTCCTGGGCTAAGGGTGGGAGTCAGAAGGGGCAGTCCTCCTGGCTGCACCCTGGTTCAGGGCTGGCCACAATTCCTTTCTCTTTCTGACTCTGTGTCCCATTGGATTGCTAAGGATGGGTCTGGAAAGGAAACAGCAAATGAGAAAGTCTGCCTCTTTGCGACTCTGCCTTCCCTGGTATCTGTAGTCATTTGTGTGTCATGGTGACATCCACTTCCTGTCCACCTGTACTCTTCCCGAGCTTCAGTGCTGGCTGTGCCACTACCCCTTTCTCCTTTGGGTCCCTAGTGAATCAGTGGCTCATGTGATGTTAACTTGTATTTGAACAAGAGAGCAATGAAAGTCAAATGCAGTCTCTTTCTTGACATAGGAGATAATATGACAATTATTTTAGAGGTTCCCCCCCCCCCGCCCCGTGGTCATTTAGTAATGTGAACCTCTTAGGCTATCAGAATGGCAGTGGCAACATTACTTAATCTCAGTGACCTCTGAGTGGCTGCCTCCTTCGAACTCCTCATTCTTGCTCTTCCTTACTCTACCTTTAGAAATTCTGTTTCAAGGAAGTTGAAGTTTAAAGAGAAGTCACCTGTCAGTAGTTATCTTGGAAAATGGAATTAAGAATTGCTGAGACTTTCTACTGCTAGATTTTCTAGTAAAATACTATGGCAAAGAAGTCATGTTTCCCAGAATTTTACTCAGAGTGAAAGGATTTTTCAGTCTTTCTTTAAGATTCAGCATGGGAGACAAAAGAAGCAGCTTTCGCTTGCCTTCATACCCTGATACCGTGTCTAGAGATGGTGTGAGCTTGAGGGAAGAACGTCCAGCAGGTGTTGGAAAGCCATGTTCCTGTTCTGTGTGGGTGTAAATTAAGCTGCTGAGCCTTCCCTGCTCCTATAAGAGGAGGAGTCTGGAGAACATTGTAAGGTTAGTCCTGAGACTGTGACTCCATTCTTGTACCCCTGAGAAGAATGTACGTCCAAACCTGAGCATGATAGCACATGCCTACAGTGCTGGCTCTCTCAGAAGCTGAGGCAGGACTGCAAGTTCAAGCCAAGTCTGAGCAACTTAAAAAGATGCTGTCTCAAATTTTAAAAAAATAAAGAGCTGGGGATATAGCTTGGTGAGAGAGCCCTGAGTTTAATACCGAGTAACCTAGTAGCACCCCCCCCCAGACATGCACACAAAGAATGCAGGAGCAAAATCATAGAAAACTAATACCAGCACAAGAGCCAGGCCTTCTTATAGTCACCTGTCTATCCTGATTAGAAATACTAGGAAAAAGCAATATGCCCCTTATAAACCTGCTGTAATAATTGCCTATAAAATAAGATTGATTAGGCAGTGGATAGTTTCAGATAGTTATATAGCAGAAGCCACTTCATCAAAATGAGAAAAAAGTATAAATGGACAACAGTAATAAATGCTGTATGTTGAACTCTCTTGATCTTTTACATGGTACTTGTGAACCCAAGGAGATACATAGAAATAATTCAAAGGAAAACTCCATGCTAGTCTTGGGACTGTATCGTGACTTCAGTGTTTTAAGCAGAACTAAACCTGTCTGGATTGCTCACATTGAAGAAATAGCATTCCATAAGGCATATACACACATTGGAGCTATACTTACACGTAGTACATACTCACTGCTTTTTCTGTGCTATCTTTTGAACTCTTATTTTCCTCACCTAAAGTGATGATTGTGTATGCTCTTATTGTATATGAATACATAAATATTATTTTAGTATTGAGATCAGTTAAGATAAGGCACATTATTCATTGTTAGTGCTTATTTAACACACAGTAAACACTCATGTTTATTACTGATGTTTACGGTATTAGAATTATTGACTGGCTTTATATGCCTGGTAGGAATTGTTTTATAGTGGTTTAGATCTTAACTCTATTTACTGTATGCATGCAAGTTTTATCATTTATTTATTTATTTAATACAGGGTCTTGCTACGCATTTCAGACTTGTAGTGATCCTCCTGTCTCAGCCTTCCTAGCTTTGGAATTACAGGCATGTGCCAGTATGGCAGGTTCGGTGGCTGGCGTGGCACACCTGGGGCTCCAGGGCCAGCAGTACCAGGAGTCAAAACCAGGTCCTTACGCTTGCCAGGCAGGCACTTAGACTGCCGAGCTATCTCCCTAGCCCCTCATTTTAGCTTTCAAAAAAGGGCTTGTGGGTACTATTCTATCTCCCTGGCCCCTATATATGCTTTTATAAAAGGAACTGTATTGTCTTCTCTCCCCCAAACAAATAATATTGTTAGTAAAATGAAGGAGGGAGCCTTTTGCCTCCTTGTACCTCTGGAAGCAACATGGGTCACCAGCAGCTCTACTGGAGCCACCCGAGGAAATTCGGCCAGAGCTTTCGCTCTTGCTGCATCTGCTTGAACCGACGTGGTCTGATCCAGAAATATGGGCTGAACACATGCCACCATTGTTTCCGTCAGTACGCGAGGGACATCGGCTTCATCAAGTTGGATTAAGTGATCTTCCTTCAATGGACTATCCAGGCCATCATACGCTCAGTGAAAGAGACCATGCAAACTCTTTGTACATAAAATAAAAAATTTAAAAGAAAAATATAAATAAATAAAATGAAGGAGGGAGATAGATTTTGGAGATGAAAAAATTATTTCTACTCCTAGTCTTATAAATAAATTCAAGAGCACTAAAGCCTCCCTCCCTCCATCCACTCACCCTGCTTATGAGCATGTATTGTATTCTGAGAGGTGGCTGCTTTACTGAAGTTGTTTTTGGTGTTCCTTATAACATAGGTTAGGAATTATTACAATAAAAATTTTATCAGCCAGACATAGTATCCCATATCTGTAGTTAAAGCTACTAGGAAGGTTAAGTTAGGAGAAGCTTAAGTTTGAGGCCAGCCTGAGCCACTTAGTGAGATTCTATCTTAAAA